TTAGGGTTTAGGGTTTAGGTTCTTCGAGGATGCTAACCAGAATACGTGGGTTATCCCGACAGAGGCACTGCATTCTAGGGCCTAGGTACCGTAAATCCTAAACCACCCTAAATCCGGCCTTCGTCGCGCGGTTAACGAGGCACTGGTTGACGTAGAAGCCGATGTGGGAGTAAAACACTCCAAGCAGCTGTGGCAACTCCTTGGTGGCACAATTAACCAAGCATTACCGGACTTCTTGACTTCTTGTGGTGAACCGATAACTTCACGAATCCTTATCCTAGGACCTTGCAAAAAAACACGGGCTAAGTTAGCTTAGCATCGTGGGGGTGGGGAGATGAGCGTTGAGAGTTTTAGGTTTAGGGACTAGGGGTTTCGAACCCCGGGTCTTGCCTAATGTAGGGGCCGAAATAATTANNTATGACTATAGTATAGTGGGCCCCAAAACCCTATTCTAATCATCAAGGCCCCTCCCTAAACCCTAAACCCTAAACCCTAAACCCCTAACCCCTAAACCCTATATTAACCTGTTGGGCTCAAGGCTTGGCGTGCGAGAGGGCTGGTTTTCTTTTCGACGGGTTTACGGCGGAGGGAGCTCTTAACCAGGTTCCCTGCTTCTCCACTTGCAAATCCACAAGTGCTTGCCGCAGTCCTGGTTTTGGATTTAGGGTTTAGGGTTTTGGGTGTTGGGTTTTGGGTGCCGCAGTCCTGATAGAATCCTCATAATTATATACGGCTCTCATGGACGCCTACAGAATCTAATTCAAAAGAACCCTCCTAAACCCCGGAACGCTCAGCTCTAACCCTAAACCTCACACCGAAGTGCCTCCGACCCTAAACCCTAAACCCTAAACCCCGGAACGCTCAGCTTTAACCCGAAACCTCACACCGAAGTGCCTCCGAGCAGCCAGGTGAAGCCCTAAGCGCATCCACTGCCGTGTAATTGCCTGCATATTAACAGGGTTTGGGGTTTAGGGTTTAGGGTTTAGGGTTCAGGGTTTAGGGTATAGGGTTTAGGGTTTAGGATTTAGGGTTTAGGGTTTAGGCTTCATCCTCTCAGCAGGCCAGACTAGGCTTCGTATAATATGTCATAAGGTTGCCAAAGGGTTATGTAAAGGTTCCACACAGGTTTGTTTAGGGTTCAGGGACTACGGCTTGTTTTTCTTCACCAGGCTCTGTGGGATTTAAGACAGAAACCTGTACTGTGGTCTTCCTTCGAAAAAGGACGTAATGTAAAGCCTGAATCATTAGAATAGGGTATTGGGGCCCATGATACAATAACTATAATAAGGAACCCCCCAAATAGTATAGGCAATGATTAGGGCCCCTATGGTAGCTCTTTATTTGGCCTCGAGCAGAGCAACTTGCCTGCTCTGCATTGCCCATCGACACCTTCGCGTAGAAGGACAGGACGCTCATGAAGCCCATGTCTCTTCCCTGCAACAGTAGAAGTAGTAGCAATTGCTACAGAAGCAGCATTAGTGGTGGTAGCAGTAGCAGTAGCACTAGCAGTAGCAGTAGTAGTAGCAGTACTAGTACTAGTAGTAGTAGTAGTAGTAGTAGTAGCAGCAGCAGCAGCAGCAGCAGCAGCAGCAGTAGTACGACTACGACGACCACGACTCCTACGATTGCTACGGCTACTGCGACT